TGGGATTACAGGCACGCGCCACCATGCCCAGCTAATTTTTTGTGTAGTTTTAGTAGAGACGGGGTTTCACCATGTTGGCTGGCCAGGATGGTCTCGATCTCTTGACCTCGTGATCCACCCGCCTCGGCCTCCCAAAGTGCTGGGATTACAGGCGTGAGCCACCGCGCCCGGCCCTATTTCCTTTTTAAAATTTATTTGTGCATGCTTCTGTTCATTAATCTATTGGGATCTTAGTGGTAGTCTTTTTTTATTTTGATTTTTTGATTTTTGTGGAAAAAAATCAAATTTATGCTTTAAAATTATTGATCAGATCAATAATTATTGATTTTTCATAGAGCCTTTTATCTCAGTGAATTACTCATATAGTATAAATATTACATTTAATGCAAATTTTAAAAACTCTCTTATTTTTAAATCAATTTCCAACAGCTCGTTTGCTTAATTTGAGCCTGCTACTCTTGCTTTGTCTTTTTCAGTTACCTTACAGGTACCTAATGGATTTCGGAGTTTGAGATTCTTGGCATAGTTCCTTTCTATAGCTTTTCCTAAGCAGTGTGAAATGTGTACTTTCAATGTTTTTCTCGTTCTCTGTCTCTTTATTACAACATCTGTATTTATCCCATCAGTACACTCTTCTACATTAAGAACGTGCCCTGTGGTTTCTGCTTCCTTCACTTCTCTTGGAAAGCCATGTTAGATTATTTTCACATCTGCAGATTTCTATTAATAACAGCATCACCGAAGGTCAGAATTAAAGAAAGTACCCATCAGATCTGGAAGTGAGATTTTTAAAACATAAATAAATGAGTCTTGGAGGCAGCAGTTTCTGTGGAGTGGTGGGGTATTGGGGAACAAGAGACAGTTTCTTTGAAGATTGCAAAGGAGAGGAATTTGAAACGTAACTCCTCTGGTGAATGTAAGGACTTTGTCTCTAAAGGGGAAGAGAGGCCTGGTCACTGAAAGAATAATGGGTTGGCTAAATGGATTGTTTTTCGGTTCCTTTTTTTGTGTTTTTTCTTTTAGATGCAGTCTTGCTCTGTTGCCCGGGCTAGGGTGCAGTGGTGCGATCTCGGCTCACTGCAGCATCTGCCTCCCAGGTTCAAGCTATTCTCATGCCTCAGCCTCCCAAGTAGCTGGGATTACAGGTGCCCCCCAACAAGTCCGGCTAATTTTTTTTTTTTTTTTTTGAGACGGAGTTTCCTTCTTGTTGCCCAGGCTGAAGTGCAATGACAAGATCTCAGCTTACCTCAACCTCCTGGGTTCAAGTGATTCTCCTGCCTCAGCCTCCCTAGTAGCTGGGATAGGCACGTGCTACTGTGCCTGTGCCCAGCTAGTTTTGTATTTTTAGTAGAGATGGGGTTTCTCTGTGTTGGTGAGGCTGGTCTTGAACTCCTAACCTCAGGTGATCCGCTCACCTTGGCCTCCCAAAGTGCTGGGATTACAGGCGTGAGCCATGATACTTGGCCTAATTTTTGTATTTTTAGTCAACATGAGGTTTCACCTCATAGGCCAGGGGCTGGTCTCAAACTCCTGATCTCAGGTGATCCAACTGTCTTAATCTTCCAAAGTACTGAGATTACAGGCATGAGCCACCATGCCCGGCCCATATGTTTTTTTTAATGGGAGAAATTTTCTGCGTTAAGAACTAGTAGAGTAGAATATGAAGGCAAGGAGGAGAGAAAAAAAAAAAGAGAAAAGAGGAGCAGATAATAGGCTGGGCATGATATCTCATGCCTGTAATCCTAGCCCTTTGGGAGGCTGAGGTGGGCAGATCACTTGAGGTCAGGAGTTCAAGACCAGCCTGGCCAACATGGGAAAACACTGTTTCTTTTTTTTTTTTTTTTTGAGACAGAGTTTCACTCATGTT